AACACCCTTTGTTGTTCTCCTCTGGAGATACCCATCTGTTTTCAGGTATGGTGGTACGATGACGTTGTAAACCTCTAAGTGAGGTTATAGGTAAGTCTTTTTCAGCCTCAGTAAGAGTTCCGGAGTGAGGGCACCTAGTCATCTGCACACGAAGTGCAGTACTCCGTAGGTTCTGGAGGCATCCCCTGGACAATTAGAGCTAGCGTCTAGCTCGTCGGTGAGTATTAGTCACAGGTCGTTCTTCGTGATGGTGTGGTAAAGTGTTACGCAGCGAGAGTAAGATACTTTCTGAGAGTCAGAGGTGCAGGGAAACATGGTTCGGCACTTTTATGTCGTATCTTCTCATTTGTTTCGCAATCTGGACAGCCTTGCCAGCCAGCTTAAAACATAATGCGGTCATTCCATGTCCCTATGCTTACTTTTGCTTTCACCGAGAGAGGATACATAGGCCAATTGGCTTCCGGAGGGCTTTCACCAACTGGCATCATTTCGTCTCCCCGATTCCAGCGAGGAATAAGTTCATTTTTATTTTTTACATTTTCTTTGTGCTTTGAAGCTTCTTTAGCGATTGTACTGGTTTTCCGGGGTAGGGTTGCTAGCCCTATGCCCAACCTTTCCCATATATCCTGGCTTAGGACCGGCTAGTAACTAGTGAACTAGTAAACTAGGCGAAATTGACTTGGTGACATCCTCAGCACTAATTTCATCATTTCACAATGGCTCAATACATTCTCCTTCTATTTTCTTGGTCCATAGCTTCTCAAGCCACTAACACTTTGTTTCTCTGCTTCATTATGCTTACCTTTTCTTGGTAAAAGTCCGTTCATTAGACAACTAATTATGATACTTCCCTATCTAAACATGATAATCTTCACTCAATTTTAATTACATTTATTAGTAAAATCTCAGTATTTATGATTTAACAAACTATTTTATTTGTTAATATGTCGTTTAAACGAAAATTCTTGTAAACATCAAATACACCCAATATGTCGAAGAAAGGAAGTCTTATGTAATACTAATTGTAGTACAGCTTAACGAGAAAAAGTCACAGAAGAGTCTTCACTGAATAATTTAACTTTTTTTGTTTTTAAGTTGATACGAACCCGTGGACTAGATACTTAACGTCAATTTTTAACCGTTATTACCAAGTATCTTCTAGATAATTTCCTCAGATTTTAATGAGAAACTACATTTTTCGGAGGTAACTGAGTGATCTGAGATAGCAATAGCACGAATAGTATTTGCAGCTTGTCAGGAATTGAATAAGTTCAAAATAAGTTAGGAAATAAGATCGAGTAAAGTCTACTGAAATGCTAAGGGTAGCAGTGCAGTATATAAAATGGTAGAGAACAAGATTTCAAAGTTATAAGTTTTATGAACTGACTGAAATTCTTCATTAAAGTTTGCGGTGTGGTCTCAATAACTTACTATAAAGTCATTGCTTCAGCGCTTGATAACTCGTGTTCGAATCTCTGAGGGAACCTAAAATCTTTCAGTGTCGAAGACGGTCATGCAGATGGGTACCAACATTTCCGAACCATTGATTCAAGTTCAATTAGAGTACTGAAAGCAAAAAGAAAAACACCATAGTAATAGTGAAAAGAGTAATGATAAAATGAATTAAAACTTTCATACTTGATAATGATTAGTGTAGAGCTAGTTTTATATGAAGTTATTGGTTAGAAAAGAATAGATGATATTATTTGGTTGGTGGCAATCAGCAGAAATTCTTCAACCTAGGTTTGGTGCTTGCTGACGAGTGTCAACAATCATGAAACATGGATCCAGGGTTTCCTACTAATTGCCTCCAGCTGACTTACACTCATTAGAGTGCACCGCAATGGTGAGACTCCTAGCTTGGTGGTTACACTGTGAAATAATAGATAGAAATCAGCACTCAGGACTAGGAAACATGAAATCGATTGCTGTTCAGTAACCATAGTTTTTGATGTGGTAATGAAGGCAACTTAAATCTTGTGCTGCATATAGTAACAAAACTTTCTTTGGAATTAGAAAGTGGATTAAAAATTCCCTTTTTTGATGTGGAACTAACAAGGAGGACAGATGGAGGCCTTTGTAGGCCTGATCAGTTGACAAGTTTTCAAGGGTGGATGCTTATTGATCAGAAAAAAATGAACTATATCTTACTTATTTCCAGTTATGGCTATCTAAAAGAAGAGATCATCTCCCTACAAATGGTGGTCAGAAATGTGTATCCACAGTGATTTATGGATAAAAATACTCAGCCAATATTTAAGGAGGATAACTCTGTCTTCTTTTCAAACACGATGTTGCGTATGAATTCGAACGTTAATGGTGACACCTCTTAACATCGCAGACAGAAGGATTTTGAACTCCCTATCACCAACATTCTCTGCAGCCAGGTTACAAAGTTTTTATCCCAGTCACTTACGGTATTTTCACAGCCTATATGCAGCCATTCTTATGAGCGTATATATAATCACTTGTTGCTAGAACATTAGGTGCATCAGTTTTGCAATACACACCCTATCTAAAAACGCTCAAGAACACCATCCTGTTTGCTTGCAAACAGGCGATAATGGATGCGATAGAAGTGGAGTAATTCAAAACCTTGTCGAAACCAGGCACTCAACCTTGACAAGTTATTCGATAGAATTTATCTACAGAGCGAGAAAAAATTTACCGAAAGCACTTATGTTTAAATAAATGATGGACAGTGGCTAGTAGTGGAATCCAGGACGGGCGTTCCGTCCTATTTTGGACCCAACAGCTGGATATCGTTAGGTCGGATCAACAACACAAAAGCCCTAACTGTTCGTTTCCCTTTTATTGCTCACACTCTGCTATTCAGTTGAAGAATTTGTAGTTCTGCATGTGAAAAGCATTTGCTAAATGATGGTTAATTCGATGTTCTCTGAGCTTTTGTTTAGTCGTGGATGTTTTTTCGTCAGACTTGGTCACATCCTCAGCACTAATTTCATCATTTCACAATGGCTCAATACATTCTCCTTCTATTTTCTTGGTCCATAGCTTCTCAAGCCACTAACACTTTGTTTCTCTGCTTCATTATGCTTACCTTTTCTTGGTAAAAGTCCGTTCATTAGACAACTAATTATGATACTTCCCTATCTAAATATGATAATCTTCACTCGATTTTAATTACATTTATTAGTAAAATCTCAGTATTTGTGATTTAACAAACTATTTTATTTGTTAATATGTCGTTTAAACGAAAATTCTTGTAAAAACATCAAATATACCCAACATGTCGAAGAAAGGTAGTTTATGTAATACTAATTGTAGTACAGCTTAACGAGAAAAAGTCACAGAAGAGTCTTCACTGAATAATTTAACTTTTTTTGTTTTTAAGTTGATACGAACCCGTGGACTAGATACTTAACGTCAATTTTTAACCGTTATTACCAAGTATCTTCTAGATAATTTCCTCAGATTTTAATGAAAACCACTTTTTTCGGAGGTAACTGAGGCTTTGAGATAACAGTAGCACCAAAAGTATCACTTTATCAAACAATTAATACAAATTTAAGCTATAATACTGTTGAAAGAATCTCATCTACTAATTTTGCACTTGACTACTAATTTAAAATGAACTGACACTTTGGTGTCCGGGTCTTGTTACTGAAAAATTGACCGGCTCCAAATACCAAGCTCCAAAAGCAATGCACTACGACAGTGAGTCACCTGGACTAGTAGTCACTTTGAAATTTGGTTGGTACTAAGGATTAGACAGCATGAAACTGTTAGTTTCCACTAACTTGTCTAAAAGTCTCACTTCTGTGAGATTTGTAAAAAAATGAAATATTTACCATATTCTAAAAGTCACACTTCATTTTCTGTAGCTGTTTCGCTACCTTAACTTTCACTTCATACTGAAGTTAGTACTGATGATGTCGTCTAGAAGGACGATAAAAGCTTTACGATTAAACAACCCAGCTCAGAGAACACGATACAACCAAGACCATCCACCCAAGCTACAAATATTCTCCACTATTTCAAAATTATACGAGCGTAGCACACTTCACGTTGTTCGAAGATGGGAAGACTTCTCCAAAAGGCGAGCTTCCACATGAGAACGACTATTCTTTCTTCATGAGTGCCTACGTCAGCATGTTCTGCCGAAGATTATCAGATATAGACCACCGATTAACTGCCCAATGGGATGGAAAATAGCCGAACAAAGTGGAAGACAAATGTTACAATTAATGATCTCAGATGCATATCATCGGATTCGGAAATACCAATCAGTGATTAACAGTCAAAAGGCAAGATCCAACTCTAGGTGATTCAAGAAAAATTGAAACTTCTTCATCAGCAGGGTATTCTTACTGAATCGATGATCCGAATGTCTTTAATTGGAATCCTGAGATGAAGTCATGTTCCATTTCAGCTTCAGTCATCGTCGCCTTAATTTCCAAAATCCTTCTCTCTAACTTCTTGTTGACATAAATGGTTATTCTAAGTAAGACATTTTTCCTGGTCTGATTAACACAACAGATACAAAAGCACAGGATCTGATATAACAGCACACATTTTCAAGCTGTTACACTTCACATCAAGATAACAAGAGGGAATGGAAAACGCGAAACAACAAATAAATAATGACAACAAGAGTATTAGAGGAAAAGAGGCAGGCAAAGGAGGCGATTTAAGGTGGTAAGTGAAAGAAGAAAAGTCCTGGACTTACAGGTAATAATAGCTCCACACATCTGTGGCACATAGATTTCGATGCAAACCACCTCATTCCATTTCAATAAATTCAAAAACTTCATTAGGAGGTAGTGTCTCAATGCTACCATTTTGACTCTGCTTCCACATTTAACTCTGTTCCAGTTAACACCTCATGTTAATTAGACCATTGAGTGACACATTGAGTGACACATATCAAAACTATCTCAGTCGGTAAGGACAAATAAACACCACTACTCACATTCATGCTTACTTACTGTAAAATATCAGTAATAGTTGGTCGGCAGTGAAATACAGTTAGGGCTTTCTTATCCTCCAACTGTAGTGGTTATCAACCAGTTAGGAAATAGGACAGGATGTTGCTTCTTACCACCACAATATAACTTTAGGTAAGCATTTGGATATCTAACCAGTAATGTAAGTGGCATAGTTTGGCAAAAGGTAAACAAACCTTTTGACTTCCGACAGGAAAATTCACCAACCGATTTCTGAACGTATTTGACGCAGTACAACATGGTAAACATATCCAAAATATTTGCTTCCTATTAACAGAGGCAGAATTCAGACATATCAGTCTTCAAAAACCCATATGAGATGCGTTTTAAGTGCTTGCGCATTGTCACTTAAGATGTACAGATGATTCTATATTTTGCAGCATCTTGACTAACAACAGAACTCTGTTCGCGTACTCTATGACAGCTAGGAAAGTTCTCATTGAGGAGACAGATTCACAAGACACTAGAGAAACAGCGTTACTCAGAGAAACATAACTGTGACAAAGGCGGATAAAAAGGAACAAAAGATAACCGTATCGAACATCGCTCAACATAGTGATCAGAAAGCCTTTGAAGAATGTAGACACTTGAAAATGATTTCTGTTAGTTGGTTGGAGGCAATCGACAGGAAGCCGTGGACCTAGGTTTCGTGCCTTTTGGCACTTGTCAGCAAGGCGTATCTGCAACCTCAACGGAACTGATGTCCCACCCGAGATTCGAACCCGCGTCATCCAGTGTTGTAGTCGGCGATAAACGTTTATCGTCAAATTCATCCAATTAGTCAGTGATTTTCTCTCACAACACAGTGGTTTTAGTTTACAACTGAAATCCAACTTACCGCTTAACAGCCTCACGAAGCATTTGTGCGCAAAGAACTCGTACTCTTTCATCAAGTGCTTCTGCCATGCCAGGTTGAGGCCAATTTAGTTCTTGAACGAACTTCTTCAGTTTATACAATCTCCACAACAAGTCCATCACAGTTTGACAAGTTTGACTCCCTGCCATATTAAAACTACCTGATGAATATTGAAACAATTCTATGCTCATTGATGGTACCTCTAATTTCTCCTTAATCTGTGAATTTTTGCTTGTACATTATTCCCAGTGATGTTGCATATGAGGGGTATGCAAGCTTGTAGACTTAACACATCTCGGTGATTGTTCAAGCTGATAAAGAAATCAACCGATTCCCTTGCTCCTTTTGAGGATACTGCGGTGACTACCATTGAGTTCTTATGAATATATGTGTTAGTGTAGCTTCAGCTAGCCATCAGAATGTTTGTATCATTTGAAGACAATATTACAATTTCTAGTAACTGAATCAAAAGACCACTCTGGTAACAGCTGAAATAAACAGTTGGCTATCTCTTTTTCGTGACAAAGATCATCTTGATGAAATAAACAAACATAATTCATTATTTCAGTTGTTTCCAGGGTGAACTGCAGAGATAATCGAAACAGCGAATGTCATGAAGGGTATAATTCTCTTTCGGGAGAGTAAGGAGAAAGCAGCAAGTATATTTAACTGATTAGTCAGCTATAATCTCTCCTTGCATTGATTCTCTTTAGGAGAACAAACAGTTTCATGTTACCGGGTGCGACTACAACACGAAGTGATGTGGGTTCGAATCCCATAGGGGACGTCAGCTCCCTGCAGGTTATAGATACCCCTAACTGACAAGTGCCAACAAGCATGAAAGCTAGGTCAAGGAGCGCTTCCTACGAATTGCCTCCAACTAACTAACATCCATAATCCTTCTTGATTTAACAAATGAACCCATGATGTGTTTATTTAAGAAATTCATTTTCTAAATGAGCTGGATGGCTTGGATCAGTTTCCCTATCGGGACGGAATAAGTTGAAGAAACAAAGAAAGCCATAGTGTCAAACAGCTGCTATACGCCAAAAGCAGAAAATTATCACAAGCAAATTATCTTCCAGTCACTATGGTTAAAAAACAAATTTTCTTTGAAACTTCTGGAAAGCCAAGAAGTAGTGCATAACAGCTTCTTAGCTTTGTTTGCATTTGAGGGATACTTCGAATGATGTTTTGATAAAACTATCGTCAGTATAAAAAGTGCTTTCAGCTTCAGAGACAAATAATGGGTGGCTTTGTCTGGTTGTTTAATTGACTCTGAATATTTAGGAAGAACTTCTTACAACGATAGGCAAGAGGTGAGCAACGAATACTATGTTGCATAGCCTCAAATGTCAATGTGATTTCTGCTAACCAACTTTGCAACACAGTCACCAGTTGACTCAACCCTAAACTGTTTGATGCTGAGTGGTGGAAGGCTTGCAACCTAAGGTTTGTACTTGTTGACTCTCATCAACAATGTTCATGAGCATCCAAATAGATCACTAATATGTTATCTAACTGTAGAACCAAGTGGTATGGGTTGAATCCTTGAGGCAGCGCTGATTGTCTTAAGGTTAGTGATACAACTAGCTAACAGGTGACAACAAAACGAAACCTACTTACAGAGATTTCTGTTCACCGCATTGAACTATTCAAAAGAAGTAACCATTCGTGAATTACTCCACTTTGCTGAAGTGGTCTAGCAAATCACAATATATCCTAAATAATGACTGCAAGTCTAAAGACGTAATTGTTGTGTAAAACCACTGAATAATCAAGATTTTTGTCTTTAGTGACTCAACATGTGAAAAGAGAGAAAATCGAATTCACAGGGTTATCTAAGATGATTATGATAAACATCTATCTCACCTTCATTCCTGTTCAATTTGGATCCCGGAATCCACCGTTCATTTTTACATCCCTCTATCAAAGCTTGTTCTATCGAATCCGCCATCAATCCAATATAACGGTCAACTAGAGGTGTAAAACGATTCGCTAATTCCTGATGAAATCGGCCATTGGATAAATTAGCTGATCAAAGAAAATTATTCAGTGTTTAGCATATTTCACTATAAACTGTAAATGTTGCCCTAGTAGTTAATATCAAATTGTTTACTACTTGCTATGAAGCATGCACAAATTAATGGATGGTTTTAGGTCGCCATTTTCTGTTGTTCATCAACAAAGTTGAATTCATCATCATCTACTGATGATATGGATACGTTGAACCTAGAATCACATCCAAACATGATTCAATTCTATGTTAGCTGGCAGTGAAAGTAAATCTCATATTACTTAAGACTTGTCAGTAGAATGTACCACAATCTACTGTTCTATTTTTATTCCAATGATTACCAACCATCTACACTAAGCTGTTGAGTAGAAACAGTCATTTATTATAGAACAAGTATCAGCTGTCAGATAACGTAGTTTCCGATTACTTATTTACTGAACCATTTGCCAATTTATTCGTACGAGGAGTCTATCAGCAAAACTATCCTGTTTTACAGACACATATACCATGACCTGACCTGAATTTTTCATTCTTTAAAAATAAGTTAACAACTTTGTTTCAGTAGGTACAGTTAAGTAGCGTATTTTCAACATCTGGTTGATATTCAACTGAATTAAAGATTAGGTGTTATCATTGAAACTTATTTTCTACAAGAAGTTGGATGAAATTAATTGATACCATGCAAATTCAATTATCTAACTTTGTACTCACTCTGTGATTATCAATAATATCGTTATCATTCTTAAGGCATGGTGGTAACACGTCTATTACAGACAATTGGAAAATTACATAGGCAGAGATGATAACTGAATTTGAACGAGAACCCATGATCTCATTAAGCTTTGATCGATCTGACTGTCTTCTTTTTGTCTGGATGTCGAATAATTCTTCAGTTAACCGTGATTCCCCACTTCATTCATTCCAATCTATATTTGTTTGTGAAAACCTCGTTGGACAACTAGTGTGTTTCAATGTGAATGGAGTTGTGTATCTACCACTCATAAGATGGTTAGGGTTACATACAGTAACACGATTGAAGTGGAATTACCATCTAATTGGGTTTATTTGATTGTCGTACTGGAGTCAATGGAACAAGTGGTCAGTAAACCACAGGCCACTTGTCGAAATCCACTTCCCAGTTTAGCTATCTTTCCAATCTTAGTTGTCAGTATTTCATCATCAAAATTTCAGTCTACAAAGTGAAGCTATTTCAGACATTTCAGTGAGTAATTTCTATTTTTCATTTCTGTCTAACTCATATACGAAATGATCACGAAGTCGAAGTCACAAATGATGCATGATAGAAATCGGTAGAATCTATGTATAGTCTGTTTTTCATCAGTGAAGAATATCCGTTAAGGTATCTTTGATGATGAGAGGAGTACACAGACTGGATGATATTATACACTGTGTAGAATCCGAAAACCGTTCATCAGATTGATTTCCTTACGGTCATCACAGTAGGAATTCTCGCATATCTCAATGAGTGGTACAATAAGTGAGTAAGACTAGTCAGAAGGGGATCTATCTGACTCTGACACACTAGCTAGCACTTCAGTTAACTTGACTAACAGTATACAACCGCCGTCCTTAAATAACTCAGGAACTAGCCCATCTGACCGGGGTACTCTTTCTCATTTCAGGTCACCTACAGTTTTCTCGACTTCTGTAGGTATCTGACGTCCTAACGTGACATTTCATTCACCATCCGACAATATGACCCTCAGCTGGAAAGTAGCTAGAGGTCGGTTGAACTGTTCCCAAAAGTGTCTCACCTACTTTTCCATTCGTCTCCCCAGCAGGTAAATTACAGAGCTATTTTTCTTCGCTGTAGTTTCACCAGTGACTGACCATTATGCTACAGTTGCCTAAGAAGTCCTAATAACTGTATGTTATTATCTGTTGCTGTTGCCTAGGTGTTTAACCTACGGTACACACTATTATTCATTGTTGTTGCTTAGATTTTTGCTCAGTCTGAATTTGAACTGCATTAGCTCCTCACTGCAGTTGGAGTCTACAGGAATGTGTTTGCGTGCACCTACTAATTCACAACAAGTTACTGAAGTCCACTGACCCTTATTAACCAAGCTTCTTCTAGATGAGTGACATTGTTCCATCCCGATAATTGTAATCAGTTTACCACTGAAGGTAGCCCTAGAACTCTCATTGCCAAGCCGCATTCATAATGACCATGTACCCAAAGTTTTCTCAAGTCCATTTAGACGCAAACACACACGGACCTGAATCAATGCTTGGTCGCTGTCTGAACAAGTGCTCTAGAAACGATGTCAGTCGTCCACTGACCCTCTCCAATGATGACTAGTAGAAATGTGGTCTATCTGCATCCATCTGTGAGCAGATGTTGGTGGACGCCACGTCAGAGGTTGTCGCTGGTTATGTCTGAGTTTTCTGCCGGCTAGAAATAAATAGTTGTCTAAGGACAGTCCTAGCAGGCAACCATCATTTTCTGTTCTCTAGGTCAGGATTCTGAAAGTGCCACTCAAGCAGCTTTATGACTGACTTATCCTACCCACTTATGTATTGAAATCCCTTGCAGCAGCTGCAACGTCTTAGTGCTTGGCTTTCAGTTTTCAGTGGAACTAACCCTTCAGTTAGTAATTTGGAATGGGGCTTTAGGAGACCAGTGACGCTGTCCTGTGAACTCAGGTTGTTTTCAAGAACTGAAGAACTGGAAGGAATTAAAGATGATGTAGGATTACTGACCGGAAGGGGTGAATGAAGGTTGAAAGGTGTGGGTGTGGTAGGTGGACAGTGATGTGAAGGAACTTCAGTGCTAACAGAATTGTGAGGCGGTCATCACTTTCTGGTTTCCCACACTGTGAGAGGCCAGGTATTCTTGAGGCACCTGAAAAAGAAAGGTCCATGCGTGACCACAGAGTTCAAGTGATATCTGCTTGAGGCTGATCACATACGTCCATTAAAGAGACCTTTTAAAAGTGTACAACAAGTGCTACTCATGAGATTCATTCAGTAGTACTCCTGGTGCAGTTTTTCCATTCCCTTTCTTGACATCAATAACAGTGTTCAGCACATCACATTGCCTTTTCTCGTTCAATAATACGGTTGAATTTTTTCAATTACGACGCACCTCATTGTTTCATACTCACCTTTGACTGTAAATTGTGCATGAGACTGACTTGATTCACAGTATTCATACTTCAAATCAAGGTGTTCTGTTCACGATTCGTGCACTGACTTTCAGACTGCTGTTAGAATGGCTTTGTTTAGACTTCTGTGTGAACTGTGATCAGTCAACAATCAAAAGGAATAGATGGATATTGGAAAAAATAAACTAACAATCTCCAGGCAGTTACTCAAAGTTTACTATATCTGTACAAGCAAATAAACTTTGTATTCTGAGACAAGCCTGACAATTTCCAAACACTGGTTGATTGTGTCATGAAATATAGCTTTTCCTGGCAGACCAGTTATTCATTGCCCTGAAATATCATTGTCTAGGAAATATGAAGGCTTCCATTATACAGTAAGTTATGTCAACTTTTTCAAGTAACTCTGACAAAACGTATATTTCTACCACTCTGATAACTATGCCGAATAGCACTAAATGAAGTCAGGTTGGTCAGGCAAGAGTAATTTCATCGGAAATAATACAAAGCTGGATATTTTGATACGCTTGCCATATCTATTGTTGACAAGAAGAAAGTATAATAAACAATTTCTGACTACAAAATTCTCTTTTACTTCTGTGAATGTGGAAATTCAGTGTTGTAGGAAATGAGTACATTGTAAATGCGATGCAGAAGTTGAAATAATAATCAAAACAGTATTGATTTTGTTAGTCATCATTTACTAACTTGTCTTTTCCTGGAATCTTCAAGAAGTTACTGAACTAAAGAAACACTATGAGCTCAATCTGCCTATAAAGTAACCCTTTAAGTTGGTCTAACGATGACTCTACTCATCGAATTGAAACTGTTAGTCAATTGACTCATGGATTAGCATTTCAACTATACTTGTTAAAACAACCAGCAATCAGTAGACTAACTGTCCAATTTTATGATTCTTAGTTTGCCGGAAATTACCACCGCCTATATTATTTAAAGTACATTTAGTTGTCAAATACAGGGTGCTATCGTAGGACCATCTGACATTAAAAATCACTCTTCACAAGCATTGATCAAGAAAATAAAGAAGTTGTTATTTAGAGGAAACTTTTCTGAAGTTCATAAAGGCGAAAATCTCTCTCTTTCATACTTTGATGCATAGACTCACACCAGTTTTTCTAATATATAGTTACTCCACTGATCAGAAAAGTTGTTTAAAATGAAACACTTATAATAATGTCCAGTCCACTATTGTTACCTATGAAAAAGACTTGCCACCATATTATATTTCAAGACAAACAGAAGTTAGCAGAACTGAGGTTCATTTGATGGCATAGACCAGCATCATCGACCAATTCTTACACATACGCTCACTACATATTTAGAATTTTAGTAGTGACTGCAATAAAACTATTTTTTCTGCAGTACAAAACTTGATTTGCTGCTGTTTATTTAGATTGTAATTGATCCATTAGAAAAAGATACATAATCTAAATTGTGAGATAAAATTCACTGAAAAGGACATCCTCATGTTTCAGATAAAGGTTTTTTCGTTGAAGCCTGATCTTATTGAAATTAACTTACGAAAAAACACCAAAGATACATTATGTTGGGATATTTCAGAATTTCGGCTATAACACGAAATGGAAACGTCTTTTCAGTGTGCTTGATATGTTCAATCCCGTGGTTGGTCAAGAAAAAGTGTACTACCTGCTTCAAGTAGAACCACTTTTGGCTGTCATCTCTTGTTCAACATAACAGAATTAAAATATTCTCAAATTCAATTGGTAGTTTATTTTCATGACTGGTTGATAACAGTTTGAAAACTAGTAAACACATAGGAAGAGTGGACAGGTTTTTCGTCCTAGTATGGAACTCCTTAGCACAGTGTGTAACCATAACCTCATGAGGAATGTAATACACAACTGTCAGGTCTCTCAACAAACACGTTACCATTCAGCCACCGGAATGGAACCCAACGGTTTGTTATCTTCAACATAACTCAAGATATATTAAGATAATCAATCGAAGCCTATCGCTGATGAACAGTCGATGGTAAATCAATTAGAAGTTTTGGAGATTGAACGACTTCAAGGCAGTTGTTCATCACCAACTAACATGAGTTGGAGAACCACTGAAAACCTGGGAGAACTGAATATATGTCTAATCATAGTTGGTGATTTATTGGCAGTGTGCAACTACCATAAGACTTTTACTTAGCCTGAATAATCGAATACTGAACGATTCCCAAGCGTTTTACCGATAGAACTTCATAGCCTTCCTAATGATTGCCACCCAAAAAAGGTTTACGGATAAGACATTAGACGTGCAATGAGGATTATGTGTATCAATATTATGAGAGCTAATCTTTGTGTATGCAGGCAACAATGATATTGTAGAATGTCAGCATACTGTTGCATCAAACAATCACATTGAAAAAGCGTTACAAAATAATCTTACTCTTACCTTGATCAGTTTTGATTACTGTACTACTCGATGCTCCTGGTGGTGTGGGTTTGTGTGTCTGACCAGTAGCTCGATAAAGTGCTTGCATCCAATTATGACGATCGACTTCAGAAGATGAGGCAACAATCAAGGTGTCACCTTCTCGAACAAGTTTAAAGAAAAATCTTGGTGTGTAATCACATTCTGGCGAACCAATTGGGCCACTTCCAACATTTCGTTGACTTGTTATACGAGCTAGAGTACTAAATTTTAGTCGTGATAGTGATGTAAGGGATGAAGTCGATGAATGGTGTTCAGGTTTACCATTTCGTCCGAATATGCCCATATTTATTATACATGTTTATGCCTTCCTTCTCTAACTTCAGGAAGGCACTCAGTAAAGTAATTTATACTATAATCAAAGTTATTTCAATCTCATAACAAACAAACATTCAGATTTACCGTACTCATGATGATCACTGTCGAGCACACCAACTGAAATCAACCAACTCTGGGAGATCTCTTTGTAGTGCAATCGTATAAAATCGTGTCTTGAAAAAAATGACATCCACAATATTACGGAATATGGTTAGCCTTATCCTACTGTAGATTGTATCACTAACGTGATTCGAAGGACAAGCTATAAATTCTTATCACGTATATATCACTGAAGCATGGGTCCGAAAATCTGCTCAGGACTGATCTTAGCTGTTGTTTTAAGTCAATGGACAGAGGTATGCAATCTGTGTTCGGTTGTACATTCATGTGGTTTAAAGTTATTTGAAGGCAAGCTTCTAAAATGCTTAGCAACCTTTTTGCAAATGCCACACACCATCAACACTCTTTCGTTTCCATTTATTTTATCCTCACTGAATTGTGGTTCTATGATCAGTGAGGATCTTATGGATTATATGATGAAGCCTTTGGAGAATTTCCGTGCGGGATGCTAAGGAGAAATAAAATACATGTCATTATTTCAAATATTCTCAACACTTTGCTTAAACGTAGTGTTGGAGATCAAAACTACTTACAGGCCTAGTCATTTGGCTTACTTGGAGTTTGCCAATACTTATTTCAGACAATTAGTCCCTTTACTAAGCTTCGTCTTCTAATAACCTTATCGAAATATTTATTTCCTCTAAGGCATATTTGACACCGGTAGTGTAATTGGCTGATTAAAGAGAAGAAGTGTTAAACTGAACCTGCTTGCGGTGTTCCAAATCTGCGCAGTCTTTGGACCAAAACTGTCTATTCTCAGCAAACTTAGTTTGAAAAAGACGTTTTGTAACCAATCCCTCAGGTATCTTCAAACCGGTTGTTGCTTGAATCACCCGTGGAAAAGAATCCTTCGGCCTCGAATGTAGGGATTTACACACTAACTTATTATGAAGTCGCCCATTAATTCGGTAAATAGTAGTATGATGAGATTTACGACAACTTTAACATACGTAAGAACGAAGAATGTTATTTTCACTTATTTGAGATGCTTCTGCTGCAGGTTGACTTTTATTATCCATAAAATAAGACTGAAAATCCTGCTTTGATGACTGAACAGTGAATCTAAGTACAACACAATTAATCGCGAGTAAGCAGATGCTGGAAATGCGCACCAGAAAAGCCTGACCTTTACACCTCTGCAGACAATTTCTCTTAACAGCTCTGCCTAAACGCGTGCAGCATGAGAATTTAGATAACGCTTGTCATATTACTTACATCATTTAAGTAGTAAGCAGACGAAGGCTAAAGAATCTGCTACATAATTACTGAATATTGAACACGTTTACCCATCTTCCTCATATATTTGCCTAATGTCCAGTGATTTGGTTCCCCCTTACTCTTCACTGAACACGTCCACCCCGTTTTTTTCCCGACTGGAAAGCAAAAGGGATGTCAGGGCTTATAAGATAGATATTTCAGGTTAAGCTTCAAAGGTCAAAAATTTCCAAACTAGGTAACAAATAATTCAAAAATGTGCGATCACTTTTTAGCGCTAGAAGTATAAATATGTGTTTGCTTGTGTCTAGTAATAACCTAATAAATCACTTGGCGTTCACTTACTATAAGAAGAAGGTTGAAAATCTGAAACCGGTCCACTCAATTTGATCGGACGTTAATTCCATCCGAATAGGCTTTTTTCTTTCCTATTATATCCATATCAACTTGCATGACTACATGGCTAATAAGTCAACCTCTTTGGATTATTCAATTTTTCTATCGTTTCTACTGCTAAACTGCCCACCTACTGAAGTTTAAGTTTTCGCTTCCAAAGCCAACTCTCGCTCTGAATCTACATCGTATACCTTTACTTTCTTTAGGAAATCTAATACCTAGAAACTTAGATTACTAAAACTTAACACACAGGTTAAGTTTAAAATGAAACACCTGCACATTTATGTCATCTGATAAGTTCTAAAATCTTGACAACTCAACCAAAATTCTTTGATCCATTAGTACGTTTCCTCTAAGATAAAGACGTTATATTAGCAGAAATAATTTCGTCAGTCTTACTCATCTTTTACGATATACCTCTGAGACATTATTATGCACTGCTTTCGGAAATCGTGCATACATAATCAATCACATCTTTAAAATCAGCCCATCTCATAATTAACATATCATTCAAACAACGTTTATGAATATTTTATAAGAGTATTGAATACTTGAACCAAAAACTAGATTTTACTTTCATAAGCCTTGCCTTTATGACTATCAGCTGGTAGGTTGAAATGCCAGTAGTTTAATCTTCGCAGAAGTGTATTTTAATTTATGTCTGTCTTTATTTCAAGAAGTATAGTTAAGATTCATTCATTGCACCCTTTTAAGACAAGTTCCATGTTGCTAAATAGTACTCCTTTCATCCGTTTCTGTTAACGCACCTTCTGAGCACGGCTTTCAAATGTACAGTTCACGTTTATACATAAAAAATAAGCACTCATAATATTCTCCATAAGTCGAAATTTTTATCACTGAAACCTGTGCTGAAAGGAAATATTCAGTCACAACTAAGAAGAACAAATGGTCGTCTTTTGCCGTGATTGACGGTCTGAATGCAATCATTAAATAGTATGAGGGAAATGTTCTGCTTTGACGGTAAGCAGAATTCCCCATTACTTTTCAAATAGCTAATGATGAAAAAATCTCTGGAGAAAGCATTAATACTTGCTTAGATATCAATGATGGATAGAAGCTAGGACTGAAATTCAGGAGGTACGTTTCGTCCTATTTGAGACTCGTCAGCTGAATGTACCTGTAGATCATTTCGGTTCTGTCAACGACGGAGGTGTACAAGCTATAACATCAAGAAAACTATGCTATACCCCTTGCACTATGGGTTGCTGTCACGACTCGGTAACCTAGTGGATAACGATGTGATACTAAGAGTGGTCGGTTCCGGTTGAATGGTTAAGGCATTCGTCATGAAACCTGAAGGTCATAAGTCCGATCTCTGGACAGGTCGTAGGTGCTTATTGCTGAGTCCAACATCAGGACAAAAGAGCAGTTCAGTGTTCCCAGGTTTCCAATGGCTCTCCAATTAGTGCCATTATGTAATGAATGCTGCCTTAAAAATAAAATCCCCCTGATCTCAAAATACAACTGCATAGCAGCTTTCGCTTGTGAGCAGACTTCGCCATGGGAGGTTTGGTTTGAGAGTAAAGAGTTTTTGAACACACAAAGGTAGCTCAACCATTCTAATAGCTTATGAATGCAAAAGTTTTAGGCTTACTACCGAACAAGTTTTGTAAATGGGTCAAAAAGAATATAGGAATCTCAGTCTGTGGCATATCACAGTGACACGTTTCGTAATTAAAAAGGTTGCATGTCTGTTACCAAAGCTCATGGTTTCAGGGGATTCGACTTGCTTTTGAAGCCACTTTGAAATGTGCCTCAAGGCCCTAGCTTTCATAGATCTGTAGGTCTCTTTTCTACGTGTCATGATAAAGACATATGAACTAGTAGATAAAATGGGATGTGACATTACTCTTCATAGACTCTAAAGATTTAAGAGAGTATGCAAGCATGGTGGTTTCCATTAACTTGATTCTAGCTGAATAAAATGCATCTTTTCAATATCAGCATTAGGTTTCCTTAAGGATCATACTATGAGAGGTACCTTTGCACAGAAGCTTGAAAGATAGACAAATCGAGGTAGAACATCGCACTGAAGCGCATTGATTCAAGTCGCCTGATTTCATAGCATCGTCCAAAGAACAAGTGGAAAGAAAAAGACTGATGTCAAAATAGATAAAATAGCGTGAAAGAATAAACAATTTGGAGATAACAGTCATTGCAAATACTCAAGTTTTAGATGTCAAGGAGTGGATTCATTCTCTCGATTGTAACCGATTTTCAGCCATATCACCAAGAGTCCTCAACCACTGATTCATTTCGTCTCGAGGACCCCAGCTTTGAAGTCTAAATCTCCCTACACAGCTCAGATCACCAGCAAGAGACTTCGTAGACTAGTGCCACATCTTGATCTGGCCACCTTGAACTCTCTTCCAACTTAATCTAGCTTCCTCTATTATGGCACTTCAAAGTAGGTTGTGGCTCAACATGCACAGTACATGCCCAAGCCATCTCAGTGAATTAAGGTTCACAAGCTCTTCAATCGTCTTGCTTACCTTACCTTTCATCTAACTTGAACACTGCTCAGATGGTGATTCCATTATACTTGAACAGTGTTATGATGTGGTTAGGGACTACTTCATGCCTCCTACTTTTAACGTTCATGTCTCACAGTTATATAACAAGACAGAACTAACTGTGGCATATGTGAACCTTTTCAATCAGGTCGTTGCTTAAGTTTTTCACGTGATTCGCTGAAATGTGGCTCAAGAGAAGAGTTCATTCGTTTACAGCATTAATAATTTTATTTGAAAAAAATATTTAAATCGTCATGACAGTTTTCTCCATAAGACACAGAATATAAATCATTCACTCAAAGAAAAAAGTAATGATTATTTTTCAACTAATCACTGACTGGTAGCAAAATTTATGTTGACTGATGCTCAGTGCGGATCACGTTGGTGGTTTCACCGCCAGAAATGACGTAAATTGGAATTTTAATTTCCAGTATCAGATAAAAACAGAGATAAGAAATTTACTAGTTTTTGTTAACTACAAATAATATCCGTTTACTATCAGTGATGAGTAGTGGCTAGTGGTGGAATCCAAGACGCATGTTTCGTCCTATTTGGGACTCGTCAACTGGATATACCCGCCTTTTAGTGATTGATGTTGTTCCCACTAGGATTCGGACCCAGAGCCAACCACTTCAAGCCCCAGAGCATTATCCACTTCTTGTACGACAGGTATAGTAAAGGTCACAGGAGCCGAACTTCCAACAATAGCCGACTGGTTTGGTTCAATCAGCGACGGAGATCTACAAGCTGTGACATCAAAGACAATATTAGTTTGCATTGAGAAAATCTTCTAGGGACATATGATACTAAACAACTCACCATTTCAGTATGCCAAAGTCTCAAGGATTAAAATGATCAGTAACTCTACTTATAGGAAAGATAAGATACAATTCTTTATCTGGCGGATAGCACCTCAGACTTACAAAAAAATAAGTAAACACTCATTGCAATATCTTATTGTCTTACTTTACCGTGTATTATTTTCATTCAGCATATCAGGAGATTTGACCTAAAAATTGCCTTGAATAGGATAATGTATGGTTCTGAACTCATATTTGACAACATAAAACCATAAAGAGTTAACTGTACGCTAAATGAGAGAAAAATAATACTGCATTTACCAAAGCGTTATTTCCCAGACCACTGAGGTACGATGGCTAACTCTTTTTCGATGAGAAATAGTTATTATTATTTGTTGATATGCTTATAGTTCTCCGTTGTTATGCTGAATCAAATTGATCGACCTCTGTTAAAATATGCGCTCCTGTGCGGATACTCCAATATTGTCTGAATATTTACTACTATTTACTACTGGCTAGCTGCGGAATCCAGAATGTGCGTTTCGTCAAAATTTGGGACTCATCAGCTGCATGTACTGGGTTTGGCTGTCGTGCCTCAGTCGCCTTGGTGTTTGAAGCACTGGGGACTGGGTTCTAGTCCCAATGGGAATAATATCACTCACTGACGTGCATTCAGCTGACGAGTCCCCAATAGAAGGAAACGTGCCTCATGAATTCCACGTCTGGCTATGACCAGGTCAGTTATAAAGAGTGACAGTGGTTGTGAGGGCTTAACTACCATTCCTAGGATCCTGTTTTTCCTTCCGGCATTAAATGTAGGACCAGAAAGCGAGAAGTGAACAAACAAACAAACAAACAAACAAACGATAGACAAATTCTGTTTTGTCCACCCACAACATATGAAACCTTAATGGCATGGGATAATTCTGTGAGAATCATGATAGGGGTGAACAGATAAAAGTTAATAAATGAATCCCAATAGTTAGGGGAAATACGAAGAAAAGTGGATGAAATTTATTACTAAACTATAACCAATTACGCACTTATTTAAACAAATTAAACAGCCAATAGGAGAACAATAAGACTGTAATATTTACTTAAGGTAGATTTTGTTCCATATGTTTATATGTTAATTTACCACAATTCCAAGGAATTATTTGAAAAAATTTCTAAACTTCTAACCCTTAAAATAGTGAGTAAGGAAGGCGAAATATTAACAAATATTTTTCATTTAGATAAATTCATTTTTCCTAAATTATTAAACTGTCGGTGATAAATTTCATTTATCAAATAACCTTGTACATAAACATTGCTTGTACAACATTGAAATGATGTCTGGATTTACAGTGGCAGATTTAATCAAACCAACATTGGAGTCAGTAAATTCATCTCGAAAACAACAATTATATGAAGGTTCAAGAAAAGTTAAGACTAGGGAAAATGCCAACAGTGAAAATAGAAATATTAAACAGAAAAACAATCATGACAATAATGTTTATAATCGATCAGTTATTTTGGATCCTTTAAATGTATTCAATGTTGACAAGAATAGTCTAGATCGAGTATGTTCAACAGAAAATAATGTAGGGAAGAAAAGTGATATTGACAATGATTCCACTGTCCTATCATGTAATTTAAATAGTGAAAATCAGTTTTTAGGTCAAAAATTATCCCTAATTGTATATCATCTTCAATATTGACGGGGAATGAAAGAAACAATAATTTAATGCCTTCATCAATCATGTCAACATCTCCATTTAATTCAGATAATAATTTACCAGTTGATGAGGTAACAAATCATCCTTTATTCCAAGCTTATTCAGAACCATCATTATTTACTACATCTTTCCAACAAATTTCATCTACTGATGTCACTTTTATTCCAACTGTAGTTTCGTCATCATTATCACCTCCTTCTTCACTTCAAAATTCTTCTGGAACATCTCAATGTCACTGGAATATTACAAATCCTAATACAGAAGATCAACTACAAATTTTATTAAAATTACATAATTTATTTGGTCTCAGTATTTTTGATAAATCAAATCTAACCAGTATGAACTCAATAAGCTTGAAAGGTGAAGATAGCACCTTTAATAATCAATTATTTCTTAATAATATCATATCAAATTCTAAAACAAGCTTATCTGATCAAAATCAAAGCAATTTAAGCTTAAACTTTAATTCTGAAACAATTTCTCCTATCAATTCATCATCTTATATGATGTCCATAATGATGAATGCTCTTATAAATAAAGAGCTACTGGAACACTTACATCCTTTATCACCTTTTCAGCATGAGGCTCTGTCTCATCATCAACATCGGAAACTGATGCAACAACAACAACAACAACAAAAGTTGCACTATCAACAATCACCTGAAATTGTTCCACAGTTAACAGTATCAGATCAAAATCAAATTTTGGCAAACATTTTAACATCACGTTTATTTTTGGATAATAATGGTGAGAAAAATATTTTTCAAGATTTTAATGAAGTAGTTAAGCTTAACAATACTAACTTATCTCTAAGCTGTTATAGTAAGCTGGTAGATGATTTACTTAATTGTAATACTAACTGATATATTTTATGTATTATAACTATTTTGTCGTTGCTGTAATCTCTAATGAAAATCAAAATATACACATGTAGCTCAACTGTAAAGTTTGTAACTTTAACACTAAGCAATACGAATTCAATACTTTTATGAATCGTTACTTCATCAAGGTTGGTCCGTACAAGTCAGTACAAAAAGCTAACTCACGACTAATTATATATTTAATTTTTTATTATTTAACACTATGCATAATTTACTAGAATTTCATTTAGCCTAATGATTATACTGTAAATATAAGAGATCGACTCTGATCAGCTTAATTGATTATCATTGTACAACCAGTTCATGAATAGAACTCTCATTGAATAGTAATAGGGTTGGTTATACTTTGATGCTGAATGTTGGCTGAAGTCAACCAGTCAGATTTTTCTTAATTTGTAACAAGTAGCTATCAAAAATCTTTGAAATAACAAACTATATCTATAAGCATTGGGGATACACTGGACTGCGGAAAAGAACCTAGAAGATTTGATTTCGCCAGTGATGACTTGTGCCTAATGTCACATAAACTTGAAGATCTACAGGCAAAAACTAACAAGTTGATAGAAGAGGCAGCGAAGACGGGACTTCAAGTGAATATAGAGAAGACAGAGGTGATGAAGATACCGCACCACCACCACCAACACAACAACAAACTCCAATCATCATAAACGGGAGAAACTTAAAGGAAGTAACCTCCTTCACTTATCTAGGAAGCACTGTTTCAACTACAGGTGGGACAGACGAGGACGTCAAAGTCAGAATCGGAAAAGCAAGACAGGTGTTCATTAGCCTGAAACCAGTTTGGAGATCTTCTGCACTCAGCATGTGGAACAAGATACGGATTTTCAACACCAACGTCAAGTCAGTGCTCCTGTATGGTTCAGAGACTTGGCGCGTCATGAAAGGGATTTCCAATAAACTACAGAGATTCATCAATAACTGCTTACGCTCGCTACTGAAGATCAGATGGCCAGAAAGAATAAGCAACAAGGAGCTCTGGGAACGAACCAACCAACAACCTATCACGCAACAAATATGCAGGAGGAAGTGGAGATGGATTGGCCATGCACTGAGAAGGCCGACTGAGGACATCACGCGTCAGGCCAGTCCCTCGAGTGGAATCCCCATGGGAAGCGACGAGTTGGACGTCCGAGGTGAGGGTGACATGAAGGAGGTCGTGCGAGGAGGAAATGAGAGCTTCTGGGCTGTCGTGGAACCAGGTTCAAAAGATCTCAGAGAACAGAGGTCACTGGAGGCGTGCTACTGAAGCCCTATGTTCCACTAGGAACCCAAGGGACTAATAATAACAATAATAATAATAATAATCTATAAGCATTTATCTTTAACATTCTGTCACGATCTTATAGTTACTTAGACCGTTCAAAATCTGCCTTTCTGTTTACAATCAAACTCCTTGTTAGAATGGAGTCGTTAACAAATTAATATGTATCGAACAAGATACTGCCAATATGATTGAGCATGAAAATGGTGAATGTTATGGCCTTTGAAGTGATGTTTGTCTCAGTGGGAACATTGGTTATCACTGTGATGCAATGACGTCTAAATGATGAGTATCAAATAGGACTAAGTGATTTCCCTGGATTCCTCTGTCAGCTACTGTCATTGATATAGCTTCATATGTAGCCTTTTTAAATCAACGAAACTTTTCGGAATAATTTTATCTCAAGTTTATAATGGTTTTCATCAAAGCGTTAAAAGGATATTTATGCTAAGTGGTGATATGCGATATATATGAGGTTGAAATTAATCAGCTTTCAAAGTACTACACCTTGGAGATTATCTTCACTGAATTACTCTATTTTTCCTTGGTTACTGACGGATATACTGAATTAATTAGTAATCCATTGTTAATAGAGGTTAGAATTTAAGATATTTCAAAGGCATAAACCGATTATTTATTAATATGACAGTTGGGAGTGAAAAAGGTTCATTTTTTGAAGTTTATTACTATTCTGAAAAAGCATAATATGCGTTAATTAACTTCAGTCTCAACTATGTGTTTCGCATATTATATTTATAAGTTTCTAAAATGCTGTTTATGTTTATCGGATCGCTAACCTATTTATAAATTGTTACCGCTTTCTGATATGAAAATGTGGAATCTCTAATTTAATTTGGAAGTTTGTAGGGATTTATTGATTTCAAGTTGGCATTCATCATTCACTTGTATTAGTTATAAGAACATTGCAAACTCGAGAGAGTTAAACAGTTGTTTTGTCCTAGAACGTGACTCTTCAGCAGTGCGCGCTGATGATCCCGCCCCGTTAGTAGTCAAACTGAGGACATTCAGCTTCCATGGCCGGCACGTTATCATTGAGCCACTGGGTCGGAGTCCAATGGTCCATATTTCCAACTTCTGTCAGTTAACGACATAGTGTGGCCAATATCGTCGCTGAGCATTCGTCCTCATGTCCACTAGGACATCCAGAAAGTCCATCAGGACAAATGCCGAAAGACGACATTAGTAGCGCTATGTCGTTAACTGATAGAAGTTGGAAATATGGACCATTGGACTCCGGGCTAGTGGTTCAGTGATAACGTGCCGGCCACGTAAGCTGAATATCCTCAGTTCGACTACTAACGAGGCGAGGTCATGAGAGTGCACTGCTGAAGAGTCTCGTTCTAGGACTAAACGGCTGTCCGACTTTCTCGAGTTTCCAATGTTTCTCCAACTGTTGTCACCGTGTGATAACCAGCTTGAACTTGCTGGAAATACCTAAGTTACAAGGTAAAGCTATTGTAAACCTTAGATCTGAAGGTATGACTGCATAAAAAATTTGTGACCAGCAAACTAGTACTAAGAATTTGAGTAACTAGTATATATATTAGCTAAAGTTAGTTTGTCATGAGAAGATTGACAGTCATCTGATTCCGGAATTAAATTCATTTTTCTGATGCTTAGTTTGTACGATAAATACTAATTTCGAGGTATTTATGTCGTATCAAAGGACTCACCACTAGCACGTTACTGCTACGACATAAAGGGTCGAATTCAGAACTCTTATTGCCAAAGAATAATTTTATCGGCTTTAATTTGTAAGCATTTTCCATAAGCATTCACTTCACTCCATAACCAAGCTATCTGTAAGCTTCAGTTAGCGACCACATGTATTTCGCCAAGCCAAAGTATTTTATCAGTACATTTCATAAGTTCATCTCGAGGCACTGCATTAGTTTAATTACTTTTTCGACAGGTGATTATTTATTATTTATGCTTTGGGTTCCTAGTGGAACATAGGGATTCAGTAGCACGTCTCCAGTGAACTCTGTTCTCTGCACTCTTCAATACTTGGCTTCACATCTGCCCAGAAGCTCTCATTTATTACTCACATAATCTCCTCCATGTCACCCTCAGCTGGGAAGCCTAAGTAGTCGTTTCCCATTTGGCTTCAACTCGAAGGCATGGCCTGGCATATGATGTCCCCAAGTGGTCTTCTCAGTGTATGTCCGATCCATTTCCACTTCTTGGTTAGTTCGTTGCGAGACAGAGTGAGTTTGTTGTTGCCCACTCCTACTATTCTGACCATCTGATCTTCAGTATCGAATGAGCGTAGGGGGCAGACATCGACAAATGTCTGTAGTTTATCAAAAATGCTTTCCGTGACGCGCCAAGTCTATAAACCACCACAATGAAGCACTGACTTACTTGACTGAATTACTGTTGAAAATCCGAATGTTGTTTATGATTTATGCTGAGTGCAGTGCAGTGCAGTGCAGCACACACACACACACACACACTGATTTCAGGTCAATGAAGGAAGGTGTGTCTTGCTGTCTTTCGGATCCTGGTTTTGACATCCTCATGTGTGCCTTTGCCACCACTTGTAGTTGAAACGATGCCGCCTTGCCTAGGTAGGTGGAAGAGACTACTTCCTTTAGGTTTTTCCCGTTCATGGTGATTCATGCCTCTTGTTGTTGTTGGTTGGGTATCTTCATCACCTACGTCTTCTTCACATTCACTTGAAGTTCTGTCTTCGCTGCCCTGTCTCTTCTGTCAACTTGTTGATTTTCGCCTTAAGATCGTCGAGTTTGTGAGACAAGACATTATACATAAATCACCATGGGTGAAATCCAAATCTTCTAGTCTCTTTTCATCGGTTAAACAGCGTTTGTCCATCTTCTCGCCTCTCACAGTTTGTTGCATGATCCGGTCCAGTTGATCACAATCAGGAAGACGATCGGTGACAGTTGGTGGCAGCTCTCTGTGACCCATACTCCCTAGTAGTTAAAGCTGAAAAAAATTTGAGGGTATGTGCTTAACGAACTTTACAAATGTGTCCAAAGGACCGGTCTCAGTGATGTTTTTCAGATGAAAAGTGCAAATGTTTGTTACCAACATCACAGGATCAGGTGATTTGGACTGATTTCTAGGCTTATTAGGAATACATTCTGAGGTCTTTAATTGTATGGACTAATAATTCCTTCCTAAGTATGACTTCGATAATAATGGCAACTAGTGCTTAACTCTTCAGTCTCAAAATATATTATTTAAACACCATGAGATTAGTCTTAAAAACATATGTAGAACATGCTCATTTATGTTCATTACTTATTGGAAATACTGGCTGATGATTACAAGAAATGTATGTTGCTCTTCATTGTCGATGAGCTAATGAAAATCATCCACTCTTCGTTACCAGTTTCAGTGTTATTTGATGTATAAGAAGTTGAATTTATAGTCACATTGGCTTACACAAAGTATCGAACCTTAAAAATCCAATAAACCCACCACTGAAACATTTCCTCTTGTACTGATCATCTGGTATTCATTTTCATGTAAAGAAAGAAATTAACTGTAGACTTTATTGGCATCAGTAAAGTTAATTGAAGAAAAACACTGTCCTA